GCCACAAATTTCTGGACTGGAAGAAAAAATCAAACAACGCAGATAGCGTAGAATCTTCTGTTGCTTGCAAACAAGATGAATCATGTTTTCTTTCTCGATTCTAAAACTTCTCGGAAAGCAAGAAAACCACCACTCACACACGTATAACCAACCGGTGAACACTCGTGTTTATTTCAGTTACCGTGGGGACGTAATTTGTGATTAGCCCCGGTCCCTTTCAAATTGTATCATTATTTATGTACGGTCCTTATATTTGAAATGACGTTTCACATTCATCAAGGGATGGCCGATTTTCATTCGAATAATTGATAAATCGATTAACGAACCGAAAAGTAAAATATATGTAATCGGTTATATCGTGCCGATATAAGCATTAACATCTCCATAGGATCATCACCACCGATCGTTTCAAACATGTGCCGCACTCTTATGTATTGGTTGAAAAATGGCAGCACAGCGTACAAAAAATAATCGATTAGTTGTTAATCGAGTAATTAAAAAATGGGACATCTCTGATTTTGGTGTGTTTGTTTTGATAAAAATGAGCGCAAAATTACATCTCTACCAAAGGGGTAGCAAACCAAGCAGCCGTCAGTGGGTCCTGTTCACCAGTTCGTTCGAATGGCTAATAAAGGGTGTCCCACATAAAATTGCAACACGGAAAAAAACGCTGTAGAAACTTACCTAGTTGAACGATCCTTTTCAAACTTTAAGACAATAAAATATAACCCATTAGTAAACTTTTGGCATATTTATTGCATTCAACTTCAATACCATAACCGTACGCTCGCACCTTAATTCAACTCATTAGTGATGTGTTTCCGTTTGGATAGAGATTCTTCTACAATAGAAATATAAGTGTTGACTCCAGTATGTATCAAGCCCAACTGATCAACTCAGCACAGTGTTTATTTCATTTATTCATTCTCCTGAACATCACTTACAGCCTCATTTGTCGTTTTCTCTCTTTCCGTTAAAGGGTGTCCACGATGAAATTGCCACACTATGAAATTGCTCTAACTTTTTAACCGTTGGGTAGAATTTAATGAAAATTTGGGTGGATTTAGTTCATAGTGCATTATTTACATCCTGCAAGTTTTAAAGTCCTGTGATCAAAACTCGCGGAAATGGAGTCGAAAGAACAGCTCGTGCGTGATAAAATCTTGCGCATTCATCACGAGAACAAGGATCTCTCGCATCGTTCCATCGCTAAAACGTTGGGAATCGCGAATTCCACGGTGTCGCGAGTGATTAAGCGGTTCGAGGAACGGTTGACCACCGATCGGAAGCCCAAAAGTGAAGGAAAAAGTATTCCGTACAACACCAAAAATCACAACCGCGTAGTTGGGGCCTTCAACCGAAATCCGAACGCCTCCGTTAGGGATGTGGCTAAGAAGCTGCACCTAAGCCGAAGTTTTGTCCAGAAGGCCAAAACTAAGGCTGGGCTTCGAACGTTCAAGGTACAAAAGGCCCCTAATCGCGACGAGAAGCAGAACAAGTCCACCAAAACCCGTGCCAGGAAGTTGTACCTCAACATGCTGACGAAAGTTGAATGCTGCATCATGGACGACGAAACATATGTGAAGGCCGACTTCAAACAGATCCCCGGCAACCTGTTTTTCACGGCCAAGGATAAGTTCAGCGTTCCGGAGCATGTCCGCACTCAGAAGATGTCCAAATTTGCGAAGAAATTCCTGGTTTGGCAAGCCATCTGCACGTGCGGGAAGCGGAGTGCACCTTTCGTGACCCAGGACACGATGAACGGACAGGTGTACATAAAAGAGTGCCTCCAGAAGCGGCTGCTTCCTCTCCTGAAGGCCCACAACGTCCCAACAATCTTCTGGCCGGATTTGGCCTCATGCCACTACTCCAAGGACGTGCTGAAGTGGTATGCGGACAATAAGGTCAATTTCGTGCCGAAAATGTTCAACCCTCCCAACACTCCGGAGCTCCGCCCCATCGAGAAGTACTGGGCGATTATGAAGCAGCACCTTCTTAAACGACCTAAGGTAGTGAAGACAGTCGAGGAACTGAAGAAAGTATGGGTTTACATGCAAAAAACGGTTGATTCACAAGTTGTGCAGAATCTTATAGCCGGGGTTAAGGCCAAGGTGCGGGCATTTGCGTATGGACTGTAAATAAAATACGAGTAAAATGGTAAAATGAAGTTTAATAGTTATTTCTCAATCCCTGAAAATTTGATGGCAATCGGATGAAAACTCGAATTTTGCGAATCAATTTTGTGTGTGGCAATTTCATCGTGGACACCCTTTATTACCGCAAAATCTCTCAAAGGGTTTAGACATTTGACCGATCATTACAAGCCTTCCTCCTTTGGAACAAACATTAATTCATCAACAAAAAACAAAACTATTTAATTTCGAACTCATGAATTTACATGAACTGAATTAACTAATCTAACTCGTATCATAATTCCAGTTTCCAGGCCGTGACTTTCCCACCGTATTTTGCCGTTCGTCCTGATTTGGAACCTTCTGCACTTTGTACGTATGCATTCCCTCCCGGTCCTTGGCTCTTTGAAAGAAAGACTTGGACAGATCCAACTTTTTGCCCATATCCCTGACCGAAGCATAGGGATTCCGCTGAAACGCTTTCACGATACGCTTGTGATCCATATCATCAATAGAACATCCATTCTGACCGCATTTCTCCTTCCGTTCGATACTCAGAGTTTCGTAGTAACGTTTAATCAAACAACTCACCGTTGACTGCACGATTCCAAGTTGTTTTCCGATGTCCCGATGAGAGAGTTGAGGATTTTCCCACATCTATGACACAAACGTCATTCCCATATACTTTGCGTGAAGCCGAAAAATCCTGGTTCTCTGGTTCGATCGAACCAGAGAACCAGGATTTTTCGGCTTCACGCAAAGTATATGGGAATGACGTTTGTGTCATAGATGTGGATTTTCCAGGTGCTTTTTTCCAACTTTCGAAAAACTGACAGTGATAAAATATAACGTAAACAATACACTCTAAACTACTTCTACCCAAATTTTCAATAGAAAATACCCAATGTGTAATTTTCTACAGCGTTTTTTTCGTGATGCAATTTGATGTGGGACTGTGTGATTCTGAAGAAAGTTACGGTAATTATTGGGAAAGCCTGTCCACCCGTGGAAATATTGCTTGATTAAGGTTCAATTTACTTTGATGCTTTTTGAAAAATTTCAAAAGCAGTTTTTTCCGACGCTTTATTTCAGATTGCAAAAAGCACTATTCGATTCCTTTTGATATTTTACGCAAAATGACGCGAGCTTTTTGCAATCTAAAATAATGCATCGAAAAAAACTGCTTTTGAATTTTAAAAAAATGCATCAAAGTAAATTGAACCTTAATTGTAAAAAAACGCACAAAAATTTATATGCCAACAAGCTTCTTACTGCTTCTGACCGCACTCATCGCCAGAGGGCGAAGAAACTGACGTTAGAGTGTATGGCAAAATTAACTTTTAATTGAAACTAAGCTATCAATAATTATGCTCTTTTAATGTAATATTATTTCTACAAACAGTCGTTATTACTACAAAGAACAACATTTAGAAACTTGTTCATAAAGGAGCAATATTAGTGGAGAAATCACCGATTTTGCGAAAATCTCCATACTGTAAAACTGGTTTAAGTTGGATTTCATCCTGAGCGATATTTCACACACGGGGCAAGATTTTGCGAAGGTACGAGAGGGAGAGAAGTACTCTCTCATTCCAACGCAAATGTTACCTTTGCCCGCTAATGCACGCTCAGATCTGAATACACTAATATCACAGACAAACAGACATAACTCTTAGAAGGAAATTCTTCAAAAATATCGACAAGCATATGTTGCATGCACACTAGTACCCTCTATCATGCACATTCCCTCGTTCATGCACCTTTTTTTTCACAAGTTGCTTTTCCCTCGATCTGTCAACACACCAGATGTGTTGAATAAAAACAAAACAGAAACAAGTCATTGATGTCGGATTGATTGTATTTTGCAGAAATACGGATCCGAAGGAGATATTCACAGAAGCTCAGATTTTTGTTTTAGGGATTTGTTTTGTTTATTTAGTATGATTTTTTTTTGTGGAATTTAAACGTGGTAATGCATCACTAATTAGAACCTTAATGTTTACATAGCAAACAAATATAATATGTATCAATCAATGATATTTATGATGATGTATTTAACATCAACAACTGATAAAAGTTGATAGAATATTGCAGTCATCAAAATGAATTGTTCTCAAATTAGTGTACATCGTACAGCTGACATCTACTAAATTGACCTGAAAAAGAACTGGCATCACTGATAAGTTCAAAATGTGGTGGCTTGCTTAACACTTCAGTGGCGCCACAATGACAAATGCAAGCACATTCGCAACTAGAACCATATTGGCGATGAATGTGATTGTGAGAGTTATGTATGTTTGCCTGTGCTAATATCTACCACCGGCGGGGCGAAATCTGTAGGATTTGATGCTGGAAAGCAGTACCCTATTGTTGGCGAACCTGGATGAAGCGGCGGTGGACACGGCGAACAGGGAGCAGCAAAGCAGGAACTACACCAGTGGTCAGCGAAGCTGGAACAAACGGGGCAACTAGTGGCACAATTCGTGGAGTACTTTTCTTCCATGCAGTGAGGAACACGAGAAAGGTGGTTTTGTGTGTGTGTTTTTGATAAAGACCAATTTTATACTAATTTAAAGAGGGCCAACCGATCATTATCTTCCCTAGCTGGTTGAGTTCGGGGTTTATTAGGCACGATCGTGAAGCGATCGGATCTAAAAGAGATAAAGATATAGAGTGATAAGCTAGTCTACCTACTCTCGGATCTTATCGTTTGGCTCATTCTGGATAGGATGTATAACAATTCAATTTTTAATGGGGTTCTAATTGCAGTATACAAATTTCAACAGTGTTCCCCTACTTATTAAGTTCTTCAAAATGCCGGGCCACGTTGAAAGGCCGCTTTCAACTAATCACAAAGCATGTCCAGGCTCAGTGGATGGTGGGTGGTGACGGTGAGGATGATGGATGTGCATCACGGTCATCTCGCTCGATGGGAAGTGGGCAAACCTCGGTTATTGCCCGTCGATAGGTACCATGTGCGGTTCGAACCTGAACCACACGGACGTGTCCATCCTTACTGGGGAATACCTGCGCGATCCGGCCAAGATTCCAGCGCATCGGTGGAGCGTTGTCTTCTTTGAGAACCACCAGCGTCCCAACATCTATGTCCGGATGGACAACCGGCCATTTCTTGCGATCCTGTAGTTGGGCAACATAATCACGTGACCAGGCTCTCCAGAAATGCTGAAGACGTTGTTGCATCTTCTGGAAGGAATCAAGACGGTTAATGGGAATGTCGCAAATATTCGGCTCGGGAAGAGAGTGAACGGGTTCTCCAATGATCAAATGGCCTGGAGTTAAGGCGATAACGTCCGCTGGGTCCGATGAAAGAGGAGTGAGCGGACGGGAGTTCATTACCCCCTCGATCTGAATGATCAGCGTGTTGAAGTCGTCTATGTTGAGCAGTGTATCTTTCATCACACGGTATAGATGGTACTTGAAGGTCTTCACGGAGGCCTCCCAAAGGCCCCCGAAGTGAGGCGAGCGAGCAGGGTTGAAATGGAATGTGATTCTATTGTCTGCACAGAACACGAGCAGTCCACTCGAATTGTGCATGTCGTTGAATTTTTGGCGATTCTCCTCCAGAAGACGATTTGCTCCGACAAACGTCCGTGCGTTATCGCAGTAGATGTCGGTTACGCGTCCGCGATGCCCGACGAGGCGCTTGAGTACGTTCACGAATGCGTCGGACGTGAGACTGTACACCATGTCGATGTGTACTGCTTTAGACGCCATGCACACGAAAATTGCGACGAATACCTTTACCGACGGACCGCGACGATTCGGAATTTTCACGGGCCACAATAATCAACACCGCAGTTGATAAACGCGCACGACGCCGTTACTCGGGACAGTGGTAATGGTCCCATGATCTGGCAAATGCTCCGTGGTTTGCAGCGGAAGCAGATGATGCACTCCCTGACTATCTTTTTTGCAAAGTCTCGTCCCCGGATTGGCTGATTTGGAGTTCAGTTCGAGAGTCCCGAAGAGTTTCGGGAATGTGAGAAAGAACGGTGGGACTGTTGCTACACCATTTTCGCATATTGAATCCACCTGAGCGAAGAAGATCAATTAACTGGCGGTTTGTTTCCACCAAACGCTGTTCGTCGTCGTCTCCAGAGAGATAGTCGTCGACGTAGAAACACTTTTCAACCATTGGAGCGGCTAGCGGGTAGTTTGCTGCTTCATCTACAGCAAGCTGGTTCAGGACGCGTGTGACAAGGTATGGAGCGGGTGACGTCCCGTACGTCACCGTTTTCAACCGATAAGTTTGCAGCTTCTCGTTGGGAGTTTTTCGAAACTGGATCAGTTGAAGCAAGCAATCTACTGGGTGAACCCATACTTGCCGATAAATTTTCTCGGCATCGGCATTCACAGCAAATTTCGGTAAACGAAAGTTCACGAGTGTGCTCACGAGTGGTGGTTGTACCGTAGCGAGATGGGAGATGACAGGTGGGCAGGAACTCACGGTCTCCCAGTGTTGGTGAGTTCTTTGCCGTTAATGTTCACGAAAAGTTCACTATTTTGCTATACAGAAATTCAAAACAAAAATTTTTATCTGCTTATTTGGACAGTTTTTGACCTGTTTCATACGACCGGAAGGTGTATGCTGGTCACAAATGCCGTGCCAAACTGATTTCCTACGCAATTAGTCAATCTTTGATGTGAATTTCGCTAATAAACACGAGGAGCATTTCTTATAGCAAACTTGCCATAACAAAATGGGCATGGTTCATTTAAGTAAACACACTAACACTTTTTCCGACTGTGGCACCTCTCTTACTCGCCTGGGTACCGTAGGTCCGACGTAGCAAAGGTCGTTCAGCGAAATGTTATTGCTGCCTCTACACGAGGCATCGAAAACCACGCGTGTCTTTGTGGTTGTGCTGTCGCTAGGCGAGTAAGAGAGGTGCCACAGTCGGAAGAAGTGTTAGTTTGTTTACTAAAATGAACCGCCCATTTTGTTATGGCAAGTTTTGCTATAAGAAATGCTCCTCGTGTTTATTAGCGAAATTCACATCAAAGATTGATTAATTGCGTAGGAAATCAGTTTGGCACGGCATTTGTGACCAGCATACACCTTCCGGTCGTATGAAACAGGTCAAAAACTGTCCAAATCCGCAGATAAAAATTTTTGTTTTGAATTTCTGTATGGCAAAATAGTGAACTTTTCGTGAACATTAACGGCAAAGAACTCACCAACACTGGGAGACCGTGAGTTCCTGCCCACCTGTCATTTCCCATCTCGGTGCTGTCGGGTCGCTGGATCGCATGATGAGGAAGATAGAAGTGAGGTTTCAATAGATCGGGTTCAAATTCATCCATATGTCCCATGGTTAGGTACTCGTCCATGAACTTTGAGTACTCAGCGTGTAGCACGGGATCGGATGACAACTTCCTCTCAATTGCCAGGAATCTGCTCAGCGATTTTGAACGACTCTCCCAATGAGTCAAGCATCTCCTCACGAATCGGCAATCGCACCACGTACCGACCGTCAGGGGCTCGTTGGTGTGTCTCTCGAAAGTGATTTTCACAATATAGCTCCTCTAGCGAAAGCACCTTGCCTTTTTCGAAGCTCTCCACCTCCCAGAACTTGCGGACAATCGACTCCAGGTTATCGATCGAGGAAACATTGCAGACTACGGTTGAGGCAGATTTTTCCATGGCTTCACCGGCGACGACGTAACCGAAAACTGTCTTGCGCAACACTGGTAGGCCACTGCCAAGAGTCAATTGTTCATTCTCCAGAATCGAAAAGAAGTTTTTGATGCCGATGATCAAATCAATGTCATGGGCTATGTTGAACTTGGGATCTGCAAGGGGGAGGTGGCGAGGAATGACCCACTTCGAAATATCCACGTTGGCAGTGGGTAGAATTCTTGTCAACATGGGCTTGTTGTGTACGATCCTAATCGTGAGGACACAGTGATGTTGGTTTTGTGCTTCACTTTCTTGACCGATTGACTGATACCGTACACATCGATATTTGCTGGTGTGCGTTTGGAACACAGCCGTTGTGCGAGAGATTCCGTAACAAAATTGGCTTCGGATGCACAGTCTAACAAAGCTCGGGCGAGAATGTAGCTGCCGTTAGAGTGCATGACTTTCACGTAGGCAGTAAGCATGAATACAGACGACATGCATGCTTTCGATACAAGAGACTGGCCAGGCGCGACGGTTTGACAGTTCGTCACTTGTGAGGAGCTATGAGTGGAGCTTGAGGGTATAGACTGCGGAACCGGCGACGGACTGAACGAAATTGAACGATTTACAAGCCCATCCGACGACGACGGGGCTGGTCCCGTAACTCGAGGGACCACGTGACATTGATCGGCAATGCACGAAACCGACGACGGCGATTCGACGACCGTAGCCGATTGTGAGGAGTGCTGACATTGGCCGACCTGAGCTGCTACAGTCTTGTTGTAACTGTCTGTACTGGGGGCAGCTTGAGCATTCAAGTGCAACAGTGTGTGGTGGCGTTTGTTGCAAGTATGACACGAACCAGCCGTGCAATTTTTCATCAAGTGTGATGATTTCAAACAATTTAGGCAAAGGCCTTGCCTTTTAGCCAACTCAAAGCGTTTTTGTGTCGTAAGCTTCTTAAATTCGTCGCACTGCGACAATCTGTGTGGCTGTTTGCACACACTGCAATTAGGCCAGTTATCACTGTTGGAAGAGTGATACGAGGAGGTTTTTGATCGAGGAGACTTAGACTCGTACCTTGGTTCGGTCTTGAAAACAGGTGGCGAAGATTGGGAGAGCGTAATAGATTGGAGTATGCGAGAGGATGGGGGCGACCCCGGCGTAGTGGTTAGCATCCATACCTCTCACGCCAAAGTCACGAGTTCAAATCTCACCCCCGGACAAGTCACAAATGACCCAAGAGCGTTAAAGTGACTATAATAAAAAAAAAAAGGAGTATGCGAGAGCGCTTTTGAATGAAAGCAACCAATTCATCATATGTTGGCCGTATATCATCGTCGAGTTGGTTTTCCCACTCCTTCTGCGTAACTGGATCGAGCTTGCTGCTTAATAACTCGACAAGAAAGGAATTCCAGTGATCTCTGGATTCCTCCAATTTATTCAGCACGCAAATGTGCTTATCGAATTCGTCTGCCAGATTTGAACAGCGCCAACGATGATTCTTTACGCACCGAAGAAGTGGACAGCAAAGCCGAAAAGTGTTGCTTTATTAGCAGATTCCTGTTGTCAAAATGTTTCTTCAGCAAATCCCACGCGATTACGTAGTTGGCCGCTGAGACTGCTAAAGACTGAACAAGTCGCAAGGCATCTCCTTTTAGTACAGTTTTCAAATACTGGAATTTCTGTACTGTCGAAAGTTGCGAATTAGTGTGGATGGTAGTGGTGAAAAGATAATGAAAATTCATCCACTCATCATAGTTTCCACTGAACTCAGGAATCTTAAGTTCTGGAAGGCGAACAGAAGGAACATGTGCAGGTGGAGCACCAGGACTAGGTGGTGGTCTTTCAACCCTTTCATTGGCGATCGCGAGTTTCCCAGCTAGAGAGCCTTTTAATTCAAAATACTGGTTTTCAAAACCAACTCTTTCGTCCGCGAGATCCTCGGACAATTCCTCTTCAAATTCAATCTCAGCCTATACTTCATTAAATTGCTCCCACAGACTGTCTAGCTTATCAAGGCGAAAACTAAGTTGAGGGAAATTGCGATCGAACACAAAATTCGCATCGAATTGTTTGATTAGCTTAGCGGAACCAATAATGTTATTTCGACGCACGAAAAGCTTTTTGGTTTTCTTTGTGTTCCTCATGGCTTGCACAACGTATCAAAATGGGCGGTGAGGTCAATGAAGCGCACAAAAGCCGATGTATTTGTGTGGATAAATGGTCTGGTTGACTCACCTGATTGTTACTAGTCTGCTTTACCTGTGTTCGCTTGGCAGGACCTGCGTTCCTTGTGCAATTGCAACTACGACCACAGCTGATTCCGTGATTCCGTCCAGATGTCCAGGTCAAGAAGGCTGCCGATGCAGCGGAAAGTCCGGTTGAAGATTTCGTGGGGTACACAATAGCAGTGAAAGCGTCCAAAATGGTGACGAATATTGCTCGAGGAGGTGACCCACGCTAACCTTGCAAGCCGGTCGATGATGGTTTTGACCTAGCAGTCCCGGGTTTCGGCACCAAAAATGTTGGCGAACCTGGATGAAGCGGCGGTGGACACGGCGAACAGGGAGCTGCAAAGCAGAAACTACACCAGTGGTCAGCGAAGCTGGAACAAACGGGGCAACTACCCAACAAACAATTTTAGCTGCAGCTTAGCTTATACAGGCAAAAAATAGCTGAATAAGGCAAATTTTGGCTGTATAAGCTATTCTGCAGCTAAAATTGTTTGTTGGGTAGTGGCACAATTCGTGGAGTACTTTTCTTCCATGCAGTGAGGAACACGAGAAAGGTGGTTTTGTGTGTGTTTTTGATAAAGACCAATTTTATACTAATTTAAAGAGGGCCAACCGATCATTATCTTCCCTAGCTGGTTGAGTTCGGGGTTTATTAGGCACGATCGTGAAGTGATCGGATCTAAAAGAGATAAAGATATAGAGTGATAAGCTAGTCTACCTACTCTCGGATCTTATCGTTTGGCTCATTCTGGATAGGATGTATGGCAATTCAATTTTTAATGGGGTTCTAATTACAGTATACAAATTTCAACAGTGTTCCCCTTCTTATTAAGTTCTTCAACACCTATTTATGTACTTCCTCCTATATGAGTGGGCTTCTTCACGGGCAATCGTATTTCCTACAACTACGATTGCTTCAGTAATCCACCGGAAAATAAAGCTATTTTTATTTCACAGCCTGAACCATATTCCAAAGAGCTCCCAAGCAGCAACTGTGCAAATTATTGGCAAATAAATTTCGACCACACTTGTATTTTTTTTTTTTTGATTCCAACGAGAAACTTAGGTACAAGTTTCCATTTTTGCACAGCGCCCTTTGTGGTGGTACTCAATTGTCGAGGACATGGGCTAAGAAGTGCCAAATATGAGTGGTGCAAATAAGTCTTTTCAGTCGCCGTCGCCGTCGGTTGGTTTTATTGTTACTCCTCCATCGTGAAACAATAGGCTTGACGACCGACCGCAAGATGGTGCTAGGAGCGGATAGATTTCTGTGACTGTCGGAGACAAAGCCGATGCAATTTATGGTCCCCAAGCAAGCAGGTTGGGACCAGTTTTTGAGGTGCTCGTAAAAGTCAACTTTCCGCCGCCGTCGCCGTCGTCGCCGTCGTCGCCAAAGTTAAGCTTTGAGGCGTTGAAGGATCGATCATTTTTCCGCTTCGTCTTCCGAGGAACGACCATTTTTAGGTTGTGAAGTATTATGAGTTTTCTTTTGCGAGTGCGACTGAAGGAAGGATTTTATAGGGGTATAAAGTTGACACCGTTGGCTGAATGACTGGCTGGCTGGCTGGTGCAACTAAAAGTTTATTTTTTTTCTGTGGGTTCCAGTTGTGTGAAATTGACGCGCGGTGACGACGGTTAGAATTTATAGACCATAAAGTGAAACTTTGCGAGGGCTTATCTTTAGAACGGACTTTGATTTTATTTGCTGGCATTTAAGGAAAGTTTAAAATCGTAGGTGAAGCTTAAATTTGTCAATTTCAAATATGTCGTCGGTTTCATGCAACAGACTTTACCATTTTACGTTTTATCGGTAAAAAGCACACACAATCCGAATAATATCACACGGTATCACCTTATTTTCTAAGGTCGTATGTTTTTCTAGCGGTGGATAAACGATTTTTATTGAAACCGACGATATGGCAACCAGGATCAGTATTTCTTCGAAATTTAGCCAAGAAAAAATCTGCTCACTATAGCCAGTGTAACACACTGATTGCCGTAATTTCTCAACGTTAACCGCAAACAAAGTACTCCCCGGGCACAGCTTGACAAGCTCGTACTCACACATCGCTGTCGCTGTTCCGGAAAGGTTAGTCGGTTCTCCGGACCGGATGCGAATTACGACGGCAACGACGGCGACGACAGTCACAACTGGGATCCGAAAATGAGAATGAAAACCTGCAAATTATGTGACACCGTAAATTTTAAATATTAGCTCCTGAATTTTCATTACACTCTCAGACCAGGGACCCAAGGACTACGAGCAGCTGACAGCTGCTGCTTGCTTCATGTGTATGTGTGGGTGAGCGGGCGTTCTCTCTATCCTTGTCGCAGCAAAACTCGAGCACAACCTTAATGGGTCAGAGATGGAAATCCCCAGGCATCCATCAGCGCAACGTTTTCTGTTCTTCGTGTAGGGAAAATTTCCGCTGAATCCGATTCTACCCGAGAGCCTGGCGAGAGGGTGGCGAAAGTTAAATACAATTTTCTCGATTTGTTTCATGGGGATGCAGAACAGAAAAGAAACAAAGTTGAATTACTTGGTAACAATGGGCAAGACAGAAAAATGAATCGTGCTTGTGTTGACTGTTTACATATCATTCGTCTTACTTATAAGAGCGACAATGCCATCAAACATTTATGAAGAGTAAACATTTGCTTCCGCGAATGGATATTAATACGAAAAATTCGAATCCAATTTCGTTTGTTTTAAACTTGACAAGAAGGCTATATGACACGTAAGATCCATCTGGATGGAGCCTGACATATGAGACGGTAAATACAGTTGCGCTCGGAAGTCATTCGACAAACAGTTAGGGATACCATCCGTCATGATTTAGCAGGACATGTCCTGATTCGCACGATACTGTATGCCGTCCGGATTTATTTATCAACTTTACCGATTTTTAAGGAAGACTACTTTTTATCAAAACAGAATGAAAGAAACATAATTTTTAAGAGTAATGTCGATTGGGCTGTCGATGAGTAGTGAGATGATTGCATGTTCGTAATATGCATAAAATGGTGCCGAATTCCAAAAATAAAAAATTAAAGGGTTGTGTCCTAAACAAGACCGCAATATGACGTAGAACTACACAACATTGATGTATGTCATGCATTATCTTTAATTTTTCAAGTATTATATTTTTTCGGTTATGGTGCAATGTTGGTTCAAGTATTTTTCCTGGAGTGATAATTCGATCACTGATATCGATCGCGCTACGACGGTGAACTGGGTGAAGATAGTGACTATCGCTGCTAGTGTGTTGATCGCGGGAGAAAAGCAGAACGATCGATATACGGTACATTTTCGCCGTCGGTACTAAATAAGTGCGTGTATTTTGTGCGGGACAAGAATATTGCGCTTGAGAGTGCACTAAGCCGAGTGTTACTCGGTTGTGTGGAGAAGAAAGGACATTGTGTCTGGCCATTGTGGATCGTGGCCATTGCTGGGAGGAGGTGATTAACCCTTCTACATCATCACGTCGCTGCCATCTTCTACGCTTGCCTGCGTTGCTTGGGAACGCTACTGGACGCCATCGCTCGCTGGTGCCATTGGATCAATTTGGCGCAATACCGTTGTGCCTGAAGGAAAGCATCCTGTCCATTGGACTGCTCCCGGTGAGTCCGTTCCAAGTTATTCTGCATGTGGCTAGCAGTAGCTTTTATAACGTAAGAAAGTGGGTAGCCAAGGGCTATTGTGGCTGGTGGTTGACGATCCGCATATCGAGTGGAAAACCGTTCGCGCCCTCGATTTGCGAAACCGCGTAGAAGTGGGTACGTTCGCGACGGGAAGTAGAGATCGATTTCGATTATCAACGACTCACTTCCGTTCGATTATAACGTCGCGAAGGGGTTTATACACCGCGTCGGGAAGGAGCAATACGTTTCGATTGTGTGTTACCCTCGTTCGGTATGGTTTCGCGTAGAAACGGTTAGTTCGCGCCGGGAAGGATTTTTCGATTTCGTATATAAACTACCGTTTCCGTTTCGATTTCGTCCGCGATGCCGACGAGAGAGGAGAAAAAAACTGGGCGATCGTATGGCCGAACGTAAGGGACTTCTTGCGATTCGCAATGCATTGGAGAAGTTTGTTCGCGAGTACGATCACGATCGCGATGCCAGTCAACTGTGTGTACGATTGGATTCGTTGGATCAATTGAACGCAAACTTTTTGGATTGTCAGGATGCCATTGAACAGTTGGATAAACCGGAATCACTGGATGAGCATATCGTCGAACGTGTGGAGTTTGAACAGCGGCTCTGCAAGGCAAAGGGCTTTCTACTTACGAAATGCACTGGGGATCAAAATCAGTCGATGAACAATTCTATGCTCGCTCCGCAACATTTCACTTCAAACTTCCACCTCCGTCTACCAAAAATAGATTTGCCGAAATTCAACGGTGATTTTTCTCGTTGGATTTCATTTCGGGACACATTTACGTCAATGGTCCATGCAAATGGTGATATACCTACAGTTGCCAAATTGCAGTTTCTTCTCCAATCTCTCGAAGAGGATGCCAAGAAACCCTTCGAATCAATTGACATCGAAGCCGACAACTATGCTACAACATGGGACGCTTTGATCAAGAGGAACGACAACCGACGATACCTCAAAAAGCAACTCTTCCGGGCATTGTACGACTTGCCAGCAGTTAAGCAGGAGTGTGCGAAACGCATTCACGGTTTGGTCGACGATTATCAACGTCATGTTCGCGCCCTCGCCAAACTGGGTGAACCCGTGAATCATTGGGACACGCCGCTCATCAATTTACTGTCGTACAAACTGGATCAAGCAACGCTACGAGCCTGGGAAGAGAAGGCAAGTCAACGGGACGACGTGACTTACGAGTTCGGATTCTCAATTCCGTCGGGCCTGATTCACAAAAATTCGCCTCAATGAAGGTGGCCGGCATCCATAATAAAGGATTCAAGTCAAAGGTATCAGCTAATGCAGCAACAGCTTTGTCACCACAGTATTTATGTCCACTGTCTTGTTCAGACAGTCATTCGATTCGAAACTGTCCTGTGTTTCTTGGGAAGGATGTCAGCCAGCGACGCGTGCTGGTTTCCCAGAAACGATTATGTTAGAACTGCTTAAGCTTCGGTCACCAATCCAAGAAGTGTGGTTCCAAATTCACTTGTCGAACTTGTCACGACAAACATCATTCTCTCCTGCACGATCCTGCTCCAATGAAGGTATCACCGATGCCTGCCATGCTATCCAGTTCAGTTGAGTCTCGAAGTTCTACCGTGTCACCGAATCTTGCTGTACCATCAGCTTCCCCGGTTCAACAATCGCTTCCTTCCACGTCACCAATCGTGGAACCTTCTGGCTCCCGCCAAGTCAGCATGGCAGTCCAAACTGCATGCACCATGACATTGCTGGAAACGGTTGTTCTTAACATTATCGACGATTACGGTAAAACGCACAAGGCCTGAGCTCTCCTCGATTCAGCATCGATGTCGAATTTCATTTCGAAACCGCTAGCTAAGAATCTCTACAGTCGCCGATCAACAGTCAACGTGTCCGTCGAAGGCATTGGATCATCCACACAGAAGGTCAGTACTGCCATTACCGCAACCATCGAGTCGGGAGATCAAACGATCTCGATGAAATTGCAGTTTTTGGTATTGAAACAACCATCATCGGAGCTGCCAACAACGCCGATTGACATTTCGGCATGGAAAATTCCGGATGTAAGGCTAGCAGATCCTCAGTTCAGTATTCCCGGAAGTGTCGACCTCGTCATCGGCAGTGAAACTTACTGGGAACTCCACACGGGTAGGAAGATTTCTCTAGGTGAAGGTCTTTCGTGGGTAGTCGAAACCCCATTTGGTTGGGCGGTTACTGGTCCCGCAGCTCGCACGGCTACCTGCATTCCACGGTTTTGCTATCTCTCCACCGTAGATGAACGGCTGGAATCCACTCTACAAAGGTTTTGGGAAATGGAAACAATTCCATCGGATCCGGTCCAGTCTACCGAAGAAAGTCGTTGTAAGGAGCTGTACGCTGCAACGACTACGCGTGATTCATCAGGAAGGTACATCGTGCGTCTCCCACGGGTTGAAGATCCCGAAATCATGCTCGGAGAATCGAGATCAATAGCAGATCGATGCTTTCTGAGCTTGGAACGTCGACTCGAGCGAGATCCTGCGACCAAGGACTCGTATCATAGGTTCATGGAGGAGTATCTGCAACTTGGACACATGAAGAAGGTGGAAGAGCCTGTAGATGACTACATTCAACACTGCTATATTCCACATCACGTCGTATTCAAGGAATCCAGTACGACCACGAAAGTCAGGGTTGTCTTCGACGCGTCATGCAAGACTTCGTCGGGCTATTCCTTGAACGACACTCTGCTTGTTGGACCTGTTGTTCAGCAAGATCTCTACTCGATCTATTAGAGATTCCGGACAAGAGTTGTCGCCATCGTAGCAGATGTCGAGAAGATGTATCGACAAGTGCTGCATCATCTGATCGATCTAGTATTCCTCCGCATACGATATCGTAGAAGTCCTACCGATCCAATCGCCACATACGAACTACAGACTGTCACCTACGGAACAGCAAGCGCTCCTTATTTGGCAACGAAGACACTTCAGCAGATCGCGAAGGATTATGAGCATTTGTATCCAGCTGCAATCAGTTCGGTTGTTCAAAATTTCTACGTCGATGATCTTTTGTCTGGAGCATCGGATGTGGAAGCTGCGATTATTCTCCGCCGAGAATAGCGGAGCGATTATTCTCCGCCAAAATCACTACCATGCTCAGCTCCGCTGGGTTCATGCTGAAGAAGTCGGCGTCGAATGCCCATGAAGTGCTAGAGGATGTTCCGCCAGAGGATCTTGCAATTCAGCCTATCCATGATCTACAGGATGAGCAGACAATCTCCACACTTGGTCTTCTTTGGGAGCCAACCGCCGATATGCTACGGTTCAAGGTTGATTTACCTCTTCCTGCTGCCATCCTTACAAAGCGGAAAGTGATGTCGTATATAGCTCAAATATTCGACCCACTGGGATTATTGGGTCCAACGACAACCAAGGCAAAGCTCTTCATGCAACATTTGTGGACGTTGAAGCGCAATGGTGTTTCCTGTGAATGGGATTCTCCACTACCAGAGAAACTTCAAGCCGATTGGAAGCAGTTTCACTCTACCCTCCACATTCTCGCTGATATCCGTATTCCTCGATTGGTGTTGGCTTCCGGAGTCAACAATATCCAGCTGCATTTCTTCGCCGATGCATCCTCCATTGCATACGGTACGTGCTGCTACGTTCGCACGGAATCAATGGTAGGAGTATTTGTACACCTTTTGACATCTAAGTCTAAGGTCACCCCGTTGTCTACACATCATTCCATCGCTAGACTTGAGCTCTGTGCCGCTCATCTAGCTAATCAACTTTACAAGAAGGTAGAAGCGACCTTGAAGGTTTCAGCAACGGCATTCTTTTGGTCGGATTCCAGTACCGTGCTTCAGTGGTTGCGTGCATCTCCAAATCGCTGGAAGACATTCGTCGCCAATCGCGTGTCTAAGATCCAGACCACCACGGATATCAATCACTGGAGACACATCGCAGGCTTAGAGAATCCTTCAAAGGTGCTTCGCATGCCTTGAATAGGATTTACCGAATGCTCAAGATTGAAACTGCTGACCGTGCGCAAATCTTCGATTGGTGCTCCGAAAATTAAATCGTCTGGAAGTTTATTCCACCCCGAGCTCCACACTTCGGAGGCCTCTGGGAAGCCGCTGTCAAAGCTGCGAAAACGCATCTGATGAAGACCGTTGGTAACGTCAACTTAGCCTACGAGGACCTGTTGACATTGTTATCACAAGTCGAGATGTGCCTCAACTCTCGTCCGCCTTCGCCGATACCCGAGGACCCATCTGACCTAGAAGTCCTAACGCCAGGACACTTCCTTGTTGAAAGCAGCCTACAAGCGGTTCCTGAACCGAACTGGAAGGATACTGCTGATAATCGCTTGGACCATTGGGAATTGACCCAGAAACGGCTGCAGGTGATCTGGTCGCGCTGGTACCCGGAGTATCTACAACAGCTACAATCTCGTGCAACTAAGGGTTGCAATCCGCCAGTCACCATCGAAGTTGATGCCATTGTCATTATAAAGGATGACAATGTTCCACCAACAAATTGGCCGTTGGGGAAAATTATCAAGCTTGATCCTGGAAAAGATGGTGTTGTACGAGTGGTGACTCTTCGAACAGCATCAGCTAAAGAAGTCGTGCGCCCCGTAGCACGAATCGCGTTACTTCCGTCGATGAAATCATCATCAACCTTGTGACCAGGTAGAGCAACCCATTCCGGGAAAATTTGCTCGATGCGCACTTGCACATTGCACAGGTAATTGTAGGTCCAATAAATTACACTTGCCTCGTAAGATCTACCTGTTCCTTCTCTTGTTCCCGGTCTCCGTCAAGGAATAATCATCCCACATCTACCACTGGATCAACCCGTGAACCCGTGGTTAAGCGTGCAAATGGAGAATCATGCGCAGCCGGAATTCTTGCAGTGAAAGGGAAAAGGGATGGTTTTTTTGTAAATAAGTAGATTAAAGATCAGTTGAAATATTCCATATTTCAAGGTGGCCGGAATGTTAGAGTTAATACATTAGAAATTTGAATTTATACATAGTAACAGTTTCAAATGACATGGATTGTAGTTTTAATTGAATTTGTGAGCACAGAGAGGGAGAGTGTATTATAACGACGATAGCCGATGGTCAACATTTGGATAGGTAGATAAGGGGTCTGCACAATTTGTAAATAATCCCATGATCTCAGCATCATTCGGCATTCTCTGCTTGTTCGTCAAGCAGTACAGTCCGGTATTTGCTCGCTCTGTCGAGTTGTTCGATAGTTATTCCAAACGTTTATTCGCGTCGTCAGTAGTGTCGGTCGCATCGTGTGATGGGAAGACAGCGCTCCCGGAGCAGGCTCCGTGAGAAAGCGGAAAAGAACAGTGGTGAGTGTAGCACGAGTGTACCTATTTCAAATAGGTACGCTACTCTTCCCACCGATGTTGGGAATACCACCTCCGCCACGGTGAAGCGATCCAAGAAGAGGAAGAAAAACCAAGGCCAGTCCGATGGTGCGAGTGGACGTGATGACGTCACAGCAACGAACGCCAGCGACATCGGTGATTTCGGCGACACCATCGACAACGAAAATTCTGCCGGCCCGAGTGCGGCAAAAGTGAAGCTACCTCCATTGGTAGTTAAAAATGCTCATCTTAATGAGCTCATCGCGGATCTAGCGACGCTGGGCGTTAAAGCCGAATACAAGTTGGGCAGAGTCGGCACCAAGGTGGTGCTCCGTACCAAAGCGGAGTATGACTTGGTCGTCGCCCACCTGAGGACTTCCAAGGTGGAATTCTTCACCCATGACATTCCCGGTGAGAAACCATTCAAGGTCGTCATCAGGGGCCTACCAAACTTCGACCCGAAGTTTATCGAAGCTGAAATCAGGGACCGGTACAAGCTGGCCCCAAGTGCCGTCTATCGGATGACAAGAAGAGACGAGAATGTGAAGGCGTATCCGGATTGCCTTTTCCTGGTACATTTCCAGAAGGGAACGGTGACGCTCAACGCGCTGAAAGCCATCCGCTCCATCAATTGCATCATCGTCCGCTGGGAGCCATACCGTGGCGGCCATCGCGATGTGACTCAGTGCCAACGGTGTCTAAACTTTGGACACGGCACCCGCAACTGTAACATTAAGCCACGCTGCGGCAATTGCGCTCAAGACCACGCCACTTCCGACTGCCCTACGGATGAAGCCGTGGCGTTAAAATGCGCCAACTGTGGTGGTGCTCACCAAGGTTCCGACAGACAGTGCTCCAAACGCGAGGACTTCAAACGCATCCGAAAACAGGCGGCAGTTAGCAACCAACCAGGACGCAAGAAGGACAAAGTCCCGGCATTTCGGACGGAGGATTTCCCGCCTCTTCGTGCTCCTCAGCAAAGGCAAGCGAATTCGCGGGTGCATTCCGCTCAAGCAACTTCTGGTGATTCTACTGGCCAAAGCTCTCCATCCCCCCCTGGATTCTGGAGACAACCACCAGCGCAAAACAACAACCCCGATCTGTTTTCAGCGGATGAACTGATGGAAATTTTCGTCAACATGACCGGTGCTCTACGTAAGTGCCGCAATAAGCCCGAACAGATCCAAGTGCTCGGTAAGTTCATCATCCAGTATGGTGTCTAAACCGCTAACCATCGCTACTTGGAACGCTTGCTCTGTAAGAGCAAAACAGATTGAGCTTGCCGACTTCCTCCGCAAGCATAGCATCGACGTGGTTCTTCTAACCGAGACCCACCTAAAGTCCGGTGACAGCTTCTGGTTGCCTGACCACAACATTATCCGGCTTGATCGCACCAGCTCCAGGGGGGGTGGTGTAGCGGTCATCGTCAGAAAGGCAATCAAGTTTTGCACTCTGCCCCACATCCGCACTTCTATCATCGAGGCCGTTAGTGTGGAGGTGGAATCACCAACTGGAAACGTACGGTTTATCGCTGTTTACTGCCCACGCCAGTGTACCGCAAGCAATGGACTAGGAATCCAATTCAAAAAGGACCTGACCGCTATCACCCGTACTAGCTCCCGATTCATCGTTGGGGGCGACCTGAACGCCCGCCATGAAGCTTGGAGGAACTACCAGAGGAACCGGAACGGATGTCTATTGTTCGACCACGCACAACATGGTCTGTACACTGTGCAATTTCCGGACGAACCAACTTTCATCTCTCCGGCGGGAAATCCCTCCACGCTGGACTTTTTCCTGTCAAACATCGGACTATCCAAGCCGGAGGCGCACAACGATCTCAGCTCCGACCACCAACCGGTGGTGACTGAAGTCGGTGTCAATGTGGTTCCTGCTAGAAGCTGCCTGCGTAAAGACTACCACCATGTCAACTGGGTGCAGTACGGACGAATGGTGGACAGCAACATCGATGAAAATCCACTACTCAACACCGTAGATGACATCGACCGGACGTTGGAAGGGCTCCAACAGGCCATATCCATGGCTGACGAGGCATACGTTCGACAAGTTCCTGTGAGGGGTAAGTTTGTTGCTATTGATTCCCACACCCAATTACTGATTCGGTTGAGAAATGTTCGTAGACGCCAGTTTCAGAGGACTGGAGATCTGGGCAAAAAACGTGAAATGGCCGATCTGAATAGGCAGATTGCTTCCAGAATGGACTCACTCCGAAATGAAAGTTTCGGGCGTGTTGTCCAGAATCTGGATGACCGCTCCAGACCATTCTGGAAGGTAGCCAAGGTCCTGAAAAATCATCCCAAACCCGTTCCACCTCTCAAAGTCGAAAATGATGACGATCGGCTTTTAATTACCCCACAGGAGAAAGCAAATGCGATCGGCGA